TACATGGGTCCCACGTGCGTCAGGAATTTTGACACGAGCACGAAATTTTGACACGAGACCAGAGTTTTGACACGAGACGTCAGAATTTTGACACGAGAGGTTACGCCGCATTTTTTCATGTCAGAATTACCGGTCAAGGTTTTTCGAAAACGTGGTCAAAATATTTTCACCTGAGGTATTTTGACACGAGAAAACGACAAATTGACACGAGAACCATCGCACACACACGAAGGCATCAACTCAGTCGGCAAGCTCGCACGCAGCTGCCCGCACACCCACACACGTGAACACAACGCTCCCGGGAGTACATCGCGTTAGGGGAACGTCAAGCCGCGGTTAGGATCGTGTGCGTTCATCGCGGGATCGAGAACAAAACACGCCGAGGTTGGTCTGTCTGGACTCTGGACTCGAAGCACACGGGAGATAACCACAACAGCAGCTAGTCGGGTGCCCCGCCCGTGATGGGAGAGGTTACAGCAGTGGTTGGTGGAAGAGACGGTAGCTCTGGGCGCACGTACTAGGGGCGCGAAGCCGCTGGCGGCGGTTGGGATTCGGGGAGTGTAGTTCGCGTAGTGTATATACACAAGTGTCGAGAGGAAACATGTCGCAGGAGAGCTCAGACTCCCTCTCGTTGACTCCCGGGAAGGCGCTCGGAAAGCGGAAGTCTACTCCCAGCAGTCGCTACGGAGAAGGCTCACCTCATCTCGACTCCGAGGGGTGGGCAGGTGGCAGGGCTGCTTCGGCTGGCGGCAGTGGTCGCATGTCCAACCCTATAGCCTTGGATATGTCGGGCAGTGGCTTGGACGTATCAGGAAGCAGCAGCGTGCTTCTGGAGGGGGTGGTCGCGGGAGCGCACGAGGGAGAAGATGAGGTAGGCGAAGGTGATGAGGAGGAGGCAGGTGAAGAGAGCTCCGACTCGGGCGACAGCACCCGGGGCAAGGCCAAGAGCGGCAAAGAGCGGGCCACTGATCAGGGTGAGTTCTTCTTTGGGAAGGACTTCTTTTCGGGGTCGACTGGGTGCACGCAGAGTTGTTCCCGGGGCCGATCTACGCGATTGTTCGGGTAGCAAGTAGCAGCGAGATACAAGTGTGCTGACGTCTCGGCGTGTAGGTCGGACCGGTTAGTGAGAAAAAGGCATGAAGGAACAGCCGTTGTATAACTTGTGGTCGGGTTAGGTACAAGTCCATGTACGAGCATCGGGTGCCACCGTCGTGTACTGTACTCTAAACTTGTATGGACCATCACGCGCCCTCGCGTATGCAAATAAACTCCTCCAGGTGTAAATCCCTTCACGATCCAACGAGCCATGGCGAGGCCAGGGGAATGGGAATGCTGCTTTCTAGCCGTCGGGAAACACACTCCGTGGGGGGAGCGTAGTGACGCACTGCGGCCTGGAAAGTGGCTTCGGGTGGTGGACACGTTCATAGAGGCCCAGACGCTGACCACATTCAGGAATGGGGTGCGGCAAGACCTGCACCTGGACTACCAGCGCAATCGTGTAAGGACCGTATCAAGATTTAGGCTGATTGAATGTTTGTTTCTCTCTTGAATGGTAGTATTCTTTGGTTCCTTCGTATCGAGGTCATGCATTTCCACGGTTTAGGGTTTTGATTGAACGATCTCTCTCTGTGGGCGTCTCACGCGGAGGTGTGAGGGGTACGTTCGCTGTTCATTTGCCCCCCCTTCTCCCACCCGCTCCCATTGGTGCACGCCCCGAAACTCCAGGATCCCGTGGACAAGGCTAAGGCCTGGCGGACACCATCGAGAGAGGATGGAACCGCAGGAGAAACGCTATCGAAAAGGAAGAGAGGGGTGCCGCGAAGCTGACCGGAGAAGGGACAATGACTCAGGAGGAGGNCCCCCCCTTCTCCCACCCGCTCCCATTGGTGCACGCCCCGAAACTCCAGGATCCCGTGGACAAGGCAAAGCTGGCGGACACTATCGAGAGAGGATGGAACCGCAGGAGAAACGCTATCGAAAAGGAAGAGAGGGGTGCCGCGAAGCTGACCGGAGAAGGGACAATGACTCAGGAGGAGGAGAGCGAGCTGTACGCGAGGGACTCGGAGGTGCGCGGATGGTACTTAGGGTTTACCAGTCGGGTGGTCGAGGGGAGCTGTGCCTCTTCTCTGTGTGTCGGGGGATAAATTGGTGGCCCGTGTCAAGAGTCCGGACTCAAAAAACTGTGCACAAAAAAATGGGTTAGGGTCAGACCCCACCCCCCGCCCGCGATTGTAAGCACGTGCGTGCGGGAGGGAGTTTTATTTTTGTTTATTTGTTTTTTTCGTCTCCCCGGGTGGCTGTACCCCTCCTAAGCGGGAAATTAATTGCGGACTCACAACGTGTCCCCTCCCCCTGGTAGATCGTGGACGCACCTTTTACTTTTGTTTTTGTTTGTTAGTTTGTTGTTGGGTGGGGTAGCTCGACGCCCCCGTAATCTTCTAACGCAACAACGGCGTAAGCCGAAAAAATGGTGGGGGTACATCACGAAGGGGGCCCACGTGCAACAATGCCGACAGACTCAACGTTGGTGTTTGGTTGGTGAGTGGAGCAACGCGCCGTATCCTAACTCTGTT